CATGTAGAGGAAGAGCTTCTCTGGAAAAGGGACAGGCCGGTGCCAAGGCCCCGAGTTGGGAATGTGCCTGGTGTACTAGTGGAGCAGTAAGAAGGCCGCGGGGTGGAAGTAGGGTGAGAGGGAGGTGGGAGACGACCAGGGCAGGCCGGGGAAGAGTAGGTCTTGAAGGGCTTGTGTGCTTGGGGGAGGCTTTTGCTCTGAGTGAGGTGGGAGCACCAGACTCAGGTGCTCACAGGCCCTTCCGACCACTGCGTCTCCCCACAGTGTGTGTGTGTGTGTGTGTGTGTGTGTAGGGGGTGGAGTGGAGAGAAAACAGACCCAGGAGACCAGGGAGGAGGCAACTGTGCTGGTCCAGGGGGGAGATGATGGCACCTCATGCCAGGGCATTCGCAGTTTCTTGTTATTTTAGAACATCACGGTTCCCTGTTTGGGATGAAAGCGGCACTGCAGGCATTGCAAATGTATTGGGATGGTTCCTTTGGGCGGATGAGATCCTATAAAGCAGAGAAAGTCAGGTGGTTAAAAAAAAAAGCCCAGCATTGCTCAGTTTAACGCATGTGAAATGCTAGACCGAGCTTTTATTACAGGTATTATTGTTATTTGTTTATTTGTTGGCAAACATTTCCCTCTCTTATCCCGTCCCATGCATTCAGCCATTTGCATCAAATTGGGCAAAGATGCCAGAAGAGTCACACATCCATGTGGAAAGTATGGTCAGTCACACGGCATGGAGTGCCGTCCCAGGCTAAGGACCGAGCAGACGGGCTGTGTGGTAATGCCGATGAGCTTGGTGGCAGAAGGAGACAGGGGGTGTTAAGAATCTCTGCCAAGTCTGGCTTGAGAACAGCAGGCTCTCCAGGAGTAAGAAGTCTTAGGATCCTCACTCCCACTGTCACCCTCACCTTTTTTTATGGTTTTCACATCGAGGGAATGATTTCCAAATTTTCTCTCTAGGCTCATGATCCACCCATTAAATGATTCAGATTGAACTTAGCATGAAACCTTTTTTTTTTTTGATGAAAGAATGAACTACAGAGAGATTTTCATGCAGACTTTCAGATGTGGAAACTGAGTCCCAGAAGGAGAAATGATTGATCAGTGTGCTGCCAAGAGAGGCTCTTGATCACATCCCCCTTTAAAGAGACCCCTGTCATTCACTGAGCAATAAATGCCTTTTCCTTCTCCCCTGGAAGCACATGGAATCAATAAACTTCTGCCTATTAACCTTAGGTTACTGCCATCAAGAGCTACGTGTTCCTCCAGCAAGAGAAATTGTGCAAATTGTAACCAGGGTGGATGACGTGCGGTGCCTGCCACGCTCCTCTGCGGAGTCTTTCTTTGCCCAGAAATTGTGCTTGACAGTCAGTGTAAAGCTGTGTTCAACCACAAACAAACTGGGCATTTCAGTGGCGTCTCCCAACAAGAATCACTTTCTCATTTCGGCAAAACTGATCAGGTGGGCTCTCCTCCAAACAGTGACTCAGAGATCTGATTTTGTTACCGCACCATCTCCCAAGCGTCGACCCAAGTCACCTTAGAGGGGGAGGAGAAGGGCAGAGGGTGCACACCTGTTTTTAACTGCCTCAGCCTAGAAGTGAGAATTCATTGGCTGAACCTAGTCACGTGGGCCCCTTTTCACCTGCAAGGGAGTCTGGGAAATATAGGAAAGCATGTAGCAAGCCCCTAAAGTACGTCTTATTATTTCTTTTAGACTATAGAGACATTTGCCATTCATGATCTCAACTATGGCAAGCAGATTGTGTTTGGATATCATTCGAAGAATAAAAGAGATCAGAACAGATCCTCTTCTGAAGCAGTCCCCTGACTGCGGTTGGAGGGGGGGCAGCCCCCACCACTAATCACGGGTTCCATAGGCACAACTGTATGGTTGAGATATATAAATATTAAATTAA